ATTATTTTATTCGTTGATCAAACAAGAGAAAAGTACAAGCATGAATAAAAACTGATGAGGTGTAAATTCAGAACGCATCCGAAGATACACTTTTCATTAATAAAAGTTTTATAGTTCAATCCATACCCTCGCTTGCTCAGGGTTCAATATAAGCACTCGCGGCTAACAACAACTTTGAAGTCTTGCACAACAAATAACTATTGTCATAACATTATATGGTTTCTGAAATTTTCTTTTCTTGTTTCTAAAATTTACGTAGTAGCAGTAGAGCTCCTTGTGACCTTTGCCTATGTCTGCCGTCAAGCAGTACGCATTACTGCGTTCCGGTTTAGAAAGGTAACGGTGCCGGTGAAATTAAAGGCACATGGGACTTCTCAACTTATGTCTCAGGATAACAATCGCAGTGGCAGTGCCCATAAGATCTTCGCAATTTTCAGCTTTGAACGGCACTGCGGGTCGTATTCTAGAACTCTACTCAATGCTCAAGTCAGGATTGCACTGGCAACACAAGCACTGGAAATACGACCCTAATGGCAGGGACTTGAGTATGATTTCGAGTGCTTTAAACCATACTCAAATCCTGACTTGAGCATTGAGTAAAGTTATAGAATACGACCCTGCAACTGTTATGGATAGGCTTGACGCTTACCACCAGGCGCACAACTTGTTCGTCCGGTCACTTGGTATTATAAAAAAATAAAATAACAAAGACATGTTACATATAAAAAATATAGGTGCAACATTTGCATTTAAGGATAAATTCTTATCTTCGCCAAACCCTTTATACAAATAAAATTCTTCGCACTAAATTGTTACAACACTTTCATTATCTATAAGGTGACCAGGGCCCAGCACATTGTCGTGGAAATATGACACATGCTTTAACTAATATTTTATAATATTTAATATGCAATTTAGCAGTAGAGCTCTTTACGAAAAGGTTTGTTTTGGGACCTTCGTAAGGTGAGCATTACTGGGTTCAAAGGTAAGGGTGCTCGTGAAGTTACGGCACATGGGACCTGTCAATTTGTATCTAAAGAGAACGGGCGCAGTGGCAGTGACACTTAGATCTTTGCGATTTAAAGCCGTGAGTGGCACTGCTACCACTAGATCCACGACTTATTTGTCCCGTCGCTGAATATCATTTAAAAAATGCACTTTTGCTATAGAAGAAAGGTTCGATTCGAGGTTCGAAGACTCGTGTTAGATAAAGATGTATGGAAAGACGACATGGGTCTTGATTCCACACAAATTTGATTCAAAGTGTATTCCATAGCATTTAAGTTTATTTGAAAAGAGCAATCCCTAGAGTTTCTTGCTCGTTCTTCTCAGGGAGGTCAGCGTAGTGAACGAGTAGTAGTTTAAATGTGACGGTTTCGAGTGTAAATTTATTTTACCAATGGAATAAATGATTCGTTGAATTTGAATTTGTTATTCTGGTACTTATAATACAGGGATCGGCGAGAACATTACGTCGATTGGCAAATCTTTTCACCACCATAAAAAACACTATAGTATATGCCATCGATACGATAAGAAGAATACAGAGAATACTCTAATTTAAGATCAGGTTAGTCTGGTACGTTAGTGCATTTAGGACATCCTAAACAAAGGCCAGGTTAAGAGTACCATTAAGCGAAGAGCGTGTACAAAGATATTAATGCGTGTTTGTTAATGGGGCGAAAAACGTGTATCTAGGGGTCTACTCTCGATCTCCGTCTGACATCCGTCCGAAACAACTACTGCCAAATAAGCATTACTTGACCAAATGAAAAGACGCGTGATGCGAATGAAGCTTCATACTTGATACATGTCTTATAATTTTGTCGAATATTACTTATTTGACAGTAATTGTTTCGGACGGAGATCGAGAGTAGACCCGCAGGTTCGTAATATAAGTATAATAAGTTCGTATGATAAGTCAAGTAAGCTCAGGACACACAGATGCGGTACAGCGGGAAAAGTGCCTAACGGCCGGTGTGACACTCAAAGCAATTTCATTTTCTACTTAGATTTTTAAAAAGAGCCATATCGCTGTCGGGTAGTATTCAAGAAAATATTCTGCTTTAATTCGCGTTACAGAAACAACACAAAAGAAATTACGGTTGAATTTATACTGAAACTTAATCAAAACAGACTCAAGAGTTCTAAAAAATACAAAGTGCAATCCCGCTAAAGCCCCGCTCCCGGACAGCGCGTCGCCGTTACCGCTCCTTGCGGACGGTTTCATAGAACTCAGTGGAACAAAGCTTTGCGCCCACACCCGCCCCGCGATAGCCCCGGTCCCGACTCACGACGCCCCGCCACCATCCCGTTTCAATGTGCAGGGTGCATAAGAACTCGAACATAAAAAAAATTCCCGGACCCGGAACGCTCCCGCTACCTGTGTGGCCTGAGCAGTATGGTAAGTCCATATAAAACGTAGCAACCTACCTTGCCTAGTCTACCTGCCCCGATGAAAAGGCGTGAAGTGTATATATGAATTCTTCATTTAATTATACATGTAATTTTGATATGCAAGTTGTATGTCTTTGTACAAGATCATTCCACCTAAGAAATAATTACATTTTGTATAGATTTAAGTCAAGATTCATTAATAGGAAATGGAGTTTATTCTGGAAGTAAATAATAGTTTTTAATACATTATGTAATTAATGAGTAATAACATATTTGAATTTTGCTATTTTTCTCACACTTAATGTGGTGGTTAAAATGACTAAATACCCTACAGTATTAACTACAATGATAATGGGGAAAACAATTAAAAATAGATAAATCAAGGCAATAGATACACAACATTACATTTTTACCTTTTTGTGTAACACAATGAAAATTAATTTAAAAAAAAAGCTTGAGACAGCAATGTATCCCAACATAGTAAAGAATTGTATTGCAAATTTTCGGGTTAGAAATTAACTTTTTTAAATGTTTCTCGTTCAGGTCGTTTAGTACTCATAGGAGACAGGAAATTTCCTATTTTGAGATAAGGTAATAGGGTTGTGATTGTCAGGCACATTACTGTATATTATATTTATTTTATATTCATTTTGTAATATCATAAATCAGATCCGAATCCCGGATCTTCATCTGGTTCTCTAAGGCTAGTACCTTAGTCAAAGTCAATGAATCTTTATTTCATAGGTGAGCAAATTACACCTGATACCGTCATGCTGATTGAACTCTACTGCACATTTGTAAGGCAGATTCCCATGAGAAAAATGAGCAAGAAACTCTAGGGGTTGCTCTTTTTAAATATACATTTGAATACATTTATGATTTACACATTATTTCAAACATATTAGATTGAGAATACTTGCAAGAGCTAAACGGGTCACTACCACAGAATTTGTCATCCAAGTACTCAACTATGTAATAAAAAGTTAGACTAAAGTTTATTCTAAAAAGAAAGTTTTTGTTTCAGTATAGTTAAATTTCGTAAATGAATATAAAATTAGCCAAAGACATTTTATATATTGTAAACAATATTGATACCTCCAATGAACACTACACCAGCTTCATTTTTTAGTCATCTCTGTTTTTATTTTGTTTTTTTGTTTCTTTTTTTTTGCACAAAATTCGGGGAGCATAATATTAGTGAATAAAATAAGGCTGTTTACATCAAAAACGGAAAACGACCAAAGAATTAAGTTGGCGTAGTGTTCATTGGCGGTATTTATATGACCACTATCATAATTCTTAATTTTTTATATATGAAAATAACATCCAAATAATAAATATGTAAGTCCCACAAATTGCAGTGCCCTGCAGGGTTACATGGCAGCACTTTATATTATTTCAAGAACCTTATATTACCCATGTAATGCAATGAATAAATGAATATGAATATTGTAGAATAAAAATGTAATATGGTTACACCATTTTTGCAGTAATAGCCTCAATTATAATTTTATCATTTAAAAGAGATTATACATGCAGTAAGTCAAAGTGATATACTTTTTTCATTATTAGTAATCAATAATATGCAATTAAACTGATAAGACACAAGACGTAAACATATTCACATAACTTATGTACTTAATATGAAGGGAGCTTTTCATTCACGTCTTTAGAATGCAAGATAAACAAAAACACATTTATAGTATTACAATACTCAGAGTCAGTCATATCTGAGAGCCATTCAGTCCTTTATACCCAACTCAATTTTGCATGCATAATGTAGCATGTATTACTTCAACATACATGAGCACCACCCCATAGAATAATAATTCCCTGCCTAAACACTTCATCAAGGATACTGATGTTTTCCTAACAGGAAAATGTAAGATTAAAATTAGGCAGGTCACACATGAATTTCGCAAAATATGAAAAAAAAAAATTGTGTATAGAACAATTTGGATATAGTTATGGAAACTAGAACCAACCCACAAAATGTCACTTTTGAGATAATTAGATTTTTGTAAATAAATAGGTAAGTTATTTGAGACAAACAATGCGAGTTATGTGTAGCATTGCGAATGATATAGAGATACTATTATATTATATAGCAATAAATAGAAAACATTACATATCTTTTTATTTACTTAATGAGACTCCATGTTCTAGTTTTCATAATGAAAACGCTAAAGATCTACAGTACTTCAGTACATGTGACATGGATCCATTTAGCATATTTAAAAAAATACATTATATGAAGTTAAGCAGCACGGTCCTTTTTAGCTATTAAAAAGTTACTTATTTAGGGTTGTACCCTGAAGGTACCAACCCTAAATAAGTGACGAAGGTTTCTTTTCTCCGTTTTGGATTGGTATATTGCCAGGATATTTTGTGAGTGCGTAAAGGACACGCCTGGTGTTCTACCTAAATACATAACTCAATTTCACTCGAGGTGTGGGTTGGTTCTTGTTTGCATAACTATGTCCAATTATTGGAAAAAATTCTAAAGAATGTTAAAGCAGTGTATTACGTGTGCCACTAGTGCGAGGCGAAATTGGTTTGTAACTAATTAGTGCGAAGGTCGCGGCCAGAGCGGGCAGACTTACCTGCGCCATCTGAGGCCGTTGGTTCACGTCTTTCATGTCGATGCAGCCAGGGTGCAACACGTTTAGCAGGTTGCAGAGTAAAACCCCGTCGCGCAGGATATATGCCAGATCGTGGATAGTGCTCGTATCCCAGTTGGCCTTGTGATCCGGACGCAGCAGCCCACATCTCGTCAGCCAGGACGCGCACTCGCGCCATAGCTCCTCACCACCAGCTGCCATCTTTCACACAAGCTTCACAGTGCACATCGATAGTATCAGCACAGAGCACTGCTTTTTAATAATCAACAGACCATTATTAACGAGGGTTAATTGATAATTGACCATACAAATTGATACAACAAACAAAACGAGCGAACGACTTCACCAGCCAGTGAAGCAAAATTTTTTTGACAACTGAATTCCGGTGCTGCCACATCGAAAAAGAAAATGTGGATATGTAGGGAGTTAGCTACAAATTTTGATTTATTAATGAGAAATATTTACAAAGATTGCTTAATTTCAATTATTTGTTTAGCAATTCTGTTATTTAATATCATTTACACAGACATTATAGGTACTTTTCTCATAATTTCTGTAAATTTCTACAGTTTTTCAACCCAGTTTCCGTACAATATTCAATCGTTCAAGAAAGCGACAGTGACAACTTGATAAGTATAATTATTATTTTATATGGCAACACAGTTAGTAAGGTGGAGTGACGCGAGTGCATGTTGAACGAACAATTTTTAATGAAAATTCATTGAAAAGTGGTGAAAACGTAATAATTTTCCGACTTTCTACTACTTTGCAGGTGAATATTTCTTTTTATTTATAAGTCCGTCTGTGACGAAAGTTGTAGCACATGAATAATCATGTTATTCTTATCTATGACACACCCATGTATCGGCTAAAATTCCAGGTTTCACTCGAATTTCTCTAAATAAATTAGAAATTGAGTTTAGGAAACTGTAATAAAGTCTTGCGGTCCGAAGTGTTCCGCCTAGTTTTATACATGTTTCCTGCGGAAGTACAAGTTTAGTAACAGTCGTTATCCTTATTAGGTTTATTTTGGACCATTACGTCACTGTATGAGGGAAGTCGCTTGGAGGGCCAAGCCGAGACTTACGGGCATCGCACCGGTACAGTATTTTGAAATGCTTTAGCTAACATAGATACTCTTTCTGTACTCCATGCACTTCAATGCTATATAATGTAGGGCCAAATTATCATATCTTCCAACACTTTTTATGCACCATTGATTTTTTTCTTCTCTTAGTGCATTATTACTACCTACTGCAGTGCAGTTTCATATTGATTAGCTGGCTGGTCAAGGTATGTTTTGCAGCATTGGTTGACTGTCATTGTCAATAAATTAGAAGTTACAGGTAAACTTTTGTTAATTAGACAGCATAATCAGGGAGATAATGCACAGATTTTATATGGATGATTTTTATTAATATTTACTTTGTATGGAGATTGTTATTATTTATAAATTTTGGTCTATTATTTTCCATACTGTTACTATTTGTGTTTTATGTTAATTTCTATGTTTATTATTTTTTATATTTTGACCGCAGGACCTGAATCCAAGGTCATAAAATAAATTGAAAAGAATTATAGTAAATAACTATCTATGCCATCACCTATACTAATATTATTATACTTATAAACCTCACTACCATATACAATAAAATATCCATGTTATGTTAATGCATTCTCTCTTTGTCAAGAAAAGTGCTATCCCTTTTGATCACATATAATGCATTTTAAGAGGGAAGTTACTTATTAGGACTGAGGCAATGTTATAGTGGCAGACAGAGCATTGATTCAGTGCGTGAAAGCACTGGAGCCGAATAACTCGTGCCCTAGTGCTTTTATGCAC